AGCAGGAATAAGGCTGTTGCGCTGGCCTCAGGTTAGTGAAACGCTTTCAAAGCTTTCTCTGCTCAAAGGTTCTGTGATTATAATATTTTCACCTAACCAGTCCTTCACCTAAGGACTGCCTGAAAGCTTAGTGAAAGGAATGAATGGATTACTTGCTACACCCTCAAGTTTAATACTGTGAGCCCCGCACATGTTGCCATCTGTTTTCCAATAACATTTATGCTATCTGTAGACCTCCTTTACCCCCTCAAACTGTGTATACCTCTCCAAATGCAATGAAAATGTTATGATTTTCTCTTTAAAGATACTTCCTAGCAGAATGTGAAATTGTTCTGCTCTCACTTCAATAAGTCTATTCCATTTCTGTATTTACAGTTATTGTATTGTTGGGCTTTTTTAGGTTTGGGGTTTTTTTTAAAGAAATATAGCATGCATAATTTCAAAGTTGTTCTTTTAGGCATTGGTCAACAGATAGAGCCACTACTTAGCTGCTGTGAAGTAGTATTTTAAAAATTTGGTTTAAAAATTATCCTTTAAAATGCTGAGAGAACCAGCTGCTACAATGGCATTTTCATCAAGTGTATTTTTTTTATTCACACTAATAAAATACAAAGCGCTTTTCTAAAAAATTCCCTTAATTTAAATGCAGTTTTAATCTGTAAATTTAAACATAAACTAAAATACATATGTTTAAAAAGAACAATGATGATATTTATGACTTGGGCTCCCATGTTACTATGCTGTGAATTATGCAGATTTCAGGTGAGGTACCAAAGTCATGGCTTTCTTCAGCGCTAAGGGTTGGTTTCATATTTACCCATTCAAGCTAATGACTGAATTTTGCATTGATAGCTATGGAGAGATACAGTGGTCAGGCATAGCCAGGAGCATGAGAATGTTTGCAGTAAGGACATATAGGGTGCTGACAGAAGTGATGTTTGGTCACTCTGAAAGCACTGTACAGCTATGCCTTGACAGAAGTGCACAGCTGCAGAGTGCTTTAAAAATGCTCGATCGTGCAACAAATTAACCCTCGTATAATGAGGGCTCAGACGAAGGTGCTCCCAAGTGGAGCAGCTTTATTAACTTCTGTTAGTCCCAGCACACGAACAAGGCTGGGTTGATGCAGCCCAGCCCCACCCCCAGTGCTGTCTGCAGGATGGGAGGGGAAGAAGGGAGGGAGAGGAAACTGCGGGCTGGGGTTTGCCTGGTCTCACTGGAAGGGAGCTTTAATCCACCTGCCCTCCCTTCAGCCTGCAACCCCAGCCCGCAGATCTCTCTCCTTCCCTTCTCCCCCTGGGGAGGTGGGCCTAGGCAAGAGAGGCCATAGACACGCAGCTCCTCCTGGATCGGCTCCAAGTCAAGCTTGATCCCCCACCCCTGCTAACCCAACAGCAAACATCTGTTGGATTGCAGGTGGGGGGGGTCACTGTAACTCATGGTGCTTTCTGTGAAGCACCGTGAGTTACAGCGGAGACTGCACATCTGTCAGTGCCCAATATCTTCCTGACAATCCCTTGTAAAAGTGGTGTGGTGTGGTGTGGTTTGTTTTGGTGTTTTAACTTTGAGTCAAGTTTTAGATGAAGTGTTTAGTTACCCCCAGGGGTAACTAAAACATTTGTTTTATTTCTGTTTTTCTTAATCTTAGGATTTGTTAAATTTAGATTAGCGGTTGTATTTCAGCAATGAAAACTGTGTGTATTGGCATAACAACTATTTATGATCTTCCTTTTGTCCCCCAATTTAGAAAACTACATTTTTCCTGAGAGCAGCTTTTTTCTTTTAAAAAAAAAATGTGCTTATAGCACTGCTAATACAGGGCACCTAGTTGTTGAATTCTGGAATTGAAATGTGTGTGGAAAATTTTAACTGAATGGCTGTCCTGCCTGAGAAGCGAAGCTCCAATGTATGCTAATTGCATTTTCCGTAGCTTAAATGAGTCATACTGATTGGCCTGCCTGTTCATTTTTGGACTTCCTTTTGACCGTTAAGACTACATGAGGCATCATTACAAGCAGCTCATACAACAGTAACAAACTTGAAAAATTAATATTCAAAATACCACATATATTTCTCTCCTGAAATCAAAGGAGTTGCAAGTTCAGATTGCCAGGATAATTCTGTGCATTCATACCGTGGGGGAATGTCATGTCTGTCATATCCACCCAACTAGGAGATACATGAGATCTGTTGCGAGAACAGTGAAGGATGATTCCACAAGGGTCGGCGTCAAACATCCTTTATTCATTGTGCAGTATAATCAACATAAGGGTGTTGTGAATTTTTCAGATCAACACACATGAGATGTTTCTTCAGTGGCTACTCAGTGTTCTTTGGTACCATCATGGCTGTTTATGCTCTCCTGTTCCTTCCCCTCAGCTTCAGAGACTGTGAGTTCAGGTGAAACCTTGCTCTGCAGTTAGTCAGTGGTAACACTTGATAATAGAGTAGCTCTAAACCCATTAAGGAATGAGCTGCATTTTTAACAAGCAGCTTACGCATGTCCTCTTGAGGTTTCCAGAAGCACCATCCCACCTGCAGTTCTGAGACACCATCTACAAACTGCTTTACTAACCCATTCGTTTCACTCTGATTTGCGACCCACCAGCATTCCAGAAAACCATTCTTCTGCGTCTGCCAAATCTCATCACTGGCAGATAACCAGAAGGCCAGAAAATAAACTAGCAATTGTCATTCAGCAGCCTGCATTTCTTTATATTCTACCATAGAGCATCTTCTCTGTTCTATATCATTGTTTTTTAACAATGTCAGGGGTATCTTATCTTATTTCCAGTTCAGTTTAAAAGACGTGAACATTACTGTCTTGGAAAAGCATTGTCATTGTGTTCTCACACATTGTTTTACATGAGAGCATTTTAATGCTAACAATACGTTATGCTAGAGGAGCTCGTAAGTAGTGCTAAACATCACTAACATAAGCCTGCTTATTTTTTTGATAAACCTGATTATTCCTCCTTTTGAAAGCACTAAAGTATGTCCATATGTTTTTCCCTAAACTGAGTGAGTATAATTCATAATGAAGCAATGCAGTGGTTCCTGATCATCAGGATGTAAATTGTTTGTTTTCTTCATTTCTGTTGACTCATATTTGGCTAGCTGGTTCTAAGAGCCAGGCCATTATATCAGCCACTCGTAGAAGGAGCAGTAAGACTATGGTTCTTCAAAAATGGAGGGTTTGCAGATTAATTTCAGCTGTGTTTAAACTCTTCTAGGGTCAGTGTTTGGAAGAAACAAACAACCTTTTTAAACTTCCTGTTGTCTGATATTTTTTTTCAGACATTCTGATGTGCTTCACAAATCCATTTCATCCCGCAATCAAGATCACCACCTGCACTCTGCTTTGTTCTGCATACCATTCCTGAGAGTCAAGTTGACTCCTCTCCCTTTTTTTTCTTTAACACACTATAACCATTTAATCATATTCTTAGTCTGCAACTTAAACAACTGCTCCCAACCCTTCCTTAACTAGAAAGAGCACCTGTTCTACAGTCTTGTTTTACTTAACTTTATTCTTAAATGACCAAGAGATGATGCATTCAGGGACCCTCCGTCTATCCCTTTATTGCTCAATGGAATTATGCACTGTTAGCAATCTGGAAGATTTAACAAAAGATGAAGCAGTTATTACAATCCCACTGCTCTTTATTGCCTTTTCTTGCTCAACTTTAATTATCCTTTCTGCATCTTCTGTGTGCGCTACCTAACCATGATGTCATTAAGCCTAGCGCGCACAATATTTGGAAATTAAAGTCAGAATTGCTGCCTTCCTGGGTCAAATGATAGAATTTTAGTTCATTACATCTTTTCATCATCTTACACTTCTGTGGATTTTATTATCTCTTTGTACTGATGCACGTTTTGCTTGTGTTTAGTAAGTACATTTCTGCTGCGTAGGCATGTGGGGTTTGTTTTTGCCCTTCCCAGATACAGTTTCTAAAACTAAGCCATTTTAGCTTCATCTTCTCCTCCCCTAACATTGAGGTCTTCGGACAACATTTTTGGAAAAGAAAGGCTGTAAGTTTTTATTTATTAGATATTTTAATAATGAAAGTTCCGTGAAATGACCTTGTCAACGTTAATCGTGCTATTGAACACACTTGTGTTTTCTAGTGTAATGTCCCACTCAGATGAAGGTTAGATACTACCCTGCGTCAAGGTGATTAAAAGCCTTGCTCTGTCTTTTTGGGAAATAATGTTATGCCCAACTGAGGTGCTGCCTTTATACTGTAGGAATAGCTCTGCTCTCATTGTCTCTTGCTTGGAATCGGCCATCAGTTCTCCTACAGGCAGTCTTTTGGAGTGAGGAATCTGATTTGCATGCCCACAAACATAGGAGAGAGAATAATCCCACAATCGTCTGATCCTATTTGTGAGCTGTGATTAGGCACACACACTACCATCTTTGAGGCCTTTTCTTATTCCCCCCAGTGTTGTTCTCATCGTTTCTTAACTTTCCCTATGTGGAAAAAACAAGTCTTTTGCACAAATATTTCTGGGGCAAAAGTCCAATGAAAGCATTTGAGTGCGATGCCGAAACAGTGGGGCACTGCTGAGTCTGTTTTCCTTTGACATAGTTGCCTTTTTTGTTATCTATTTTTGCAGATAATTGATGAATTGGACAGTTCTCTTCTGCAGCCATTTTTGGACTTCAGATCATCTCCAACAGAGGGGAACGAATAGCTATGTTACTTCCTCTCTCTCAATCCTGAGAGAGAGAGCTTGTTCTATTATTGTTTTCCTTCCCTTTGTCTGCTGCAATTAATTAGCACCGCCGCTGTCATACTTTCTTAAACATGGCCCTTATCCCCTAGCATTTCCATTTTCCCCCTTAAAACACTGACACTCAGTTCTGTCTTTTGTTCACCAGTTTCCCCCCCCAACCCTCACAGCTTTAGGAATGCTTCTCACAGAAACATCAACTTTATACTTATCCACTGCAGTGCATAATTGTGACTAATTAATGGTTTTGTTTTAAATCCACATACTGTTATGGTAGCAATTGTGCGTGTCATGCTTTTCTGGAGGGACTCATTTTATGGTAATGCCAGTGCCCATCACAGCAGAGTCGTCTTAAAATATGTTTCATTTCATTAGTGATTAACTCCAGCTAAATTTCTAACCAGTTTTTATTTCATCTTTTAAAACATAATCTAAGGATCTGCAAAAAGCCTCCTTTTTCCTTTTTTATCAGTACAATTGATAACTGCAAAAAAGTGCAACGTAACAAAATAACCATACCTCTCATGTTTATTTAGTTCCTGTTTATACACACGTATATGCACAATATTTATATTGCTTTACTAAAAAAAAATTTTTTTTTTAAATCACAGTTTCTATTTATTTTTCCTTTAATTTCAAGGGGAGTAAGGCTCTCACAACTGTGCTGTACTTGTTTTATCTCTAGGAACTGATAGCTGAGAAAAACATGCAGTGTATGTGGTGAGGGAAGGTGATATGAACATAGCTTATATCTTTCGTTGGCATTCCCATGACTTTCGGGTGACAGCTGCTGCAGGCCAAGAAAGTCCTCAGGTATAAGTTAGAATAGCATAATAGTCCCCAAGAGACTGAAGCTATAGCCAAGCATCAACACAGCATAATGCTGTCTTAGCCAAATTCCTTATGCTGGAGAAGTGGGATGTACCATCAGAGCCTACTCTTGTTCAATGCTAATGTAGGGTTTCAACTGCAGTGGGGGAAACCTTCCAGACCAGACTCTGGTTTTGTAGCCACAGTGTGCTGGCATAAAGCAGCCTTACCTAGGAGCTAGTCCCTAGACTCAAGTTAGGATCAAGTTATGAATAAAATAAGTGGTCAGTCATCTGAGAATCTAGTTCTCAGTAGACTAATGCACACTGATATTAGTGGGAGGCACTCCATTTATACCAAAGAGCTTTGGAGCAGGTTCTCAGATCAGCGGTATTTGCCATCAGGGTCAAAGTAAGTTAGTGCAGGTCAGGTATCTGCAGAGTTTGCATGTGTCTGCACTGTGCCTAGATTTTAACTGCTGTCAGTCTGCTTCTTATAGTATAAGAAACATCCAAAAACCTGGAGGGGAAAAAGGCAACATACTCACTTTGTAATATTTATTTTTAACACAGCGATTCCCCTGGATGAGTGCCCCCATTCAAGTTGGATTAGTTGGATTCTGGTGAGTTCCTTTAGATTGCTTGTCTGCTGCTATTTTTGAGGCATCTGCTATCTTTAAGAGTTGGCTAGAGTTCCCTTAAAAGTTTGGTGTATCTGGATTTAGGCGGGAAAGCCAACAAACAACTAAAGTGACTCACTTCTTCTGTGAGATGTCAGCAAAACTGTATTATTTACATCTTCTCATTTTGTTTAGTACTACCTGTTGAAACAAAAAAAGGTCTTGTTTCCATGGTTTTCCTATGACAGCTATTGGTGATAGTATTATTAAACCAAGTCAGCAAAGAAAAGAGTTCTGTCTTGCAGCTGATTCAGAAATGAGATTTTGATGACTGCGGGCGCTTGTATATGGGACGGGGGTTTAATCCCCATGGTTTTGTTCTGTGCCCCCTAAATTGAAAGGGTGAGGCATAGAATAAAACCCTGAGGACTAAACTGTTTCAAATTTTCCATCATGTAGCGGTGAGGGGCCCAATCCTTTTGTTTCTTTGTTTGTTTTTTTTGGTTTTTGGCGGAGCTTGCCTGCCTCTCCCGCAGCCAGGGGTGAGCTGCTGGTCGGCCGAGCAACCCCTGAGCTGCAGGGGACCCCGGTCCTTTCCTCGGCAGCAACAACGCCCCCAGGGCCTCCCAGGTAGCGTGCTATTGGACTGGATGCTGCCCCAGCTCAGAGGCAGCACCCGGCCCAATCTAACTCTACCCTGAGCCTGCCTAGGGAGCAGCACTCGATGGGCTTCCAGCAGGCGAGGTTGGGGAAGAGTTGGATCACACTAGATGCTGCCTCTGAGCTGGGGCAGCATCCGGCCTGCTAGCACCCCACCCAGATGGCCCTGGGGGGCACCACCACCACAGACAGAAGACCGGGGGCCCTGTAGTTCAGCCCACCTGCAGCTTGACCCCCAGCTGCAGGAGAGGCAAGCTCCACCAAAAAAGGATCAGGCCCCTCGCTGCTCCTAAGGCCAGCAGAACACCTGGGGCCGCCTGGCAACGGGCTGCCCTGTCCCTGGGGCAGAGCGGGGAGGTGGCAGGAAGGTAGCTGGGTGTGCTGGCAACCGGAGAAGGCGGCAAGGATGGTGCACAGGGTGCTGGAAGCCTGGGTGTGTTCAAGGAAGCTAGCAGCCTTCCCAGGCAGCCCTACACCCCATGCACCATCCTCACCACCTTCTGCAGTCATCAGCACAGCCAGCCACCCTCCTGCTACCTTCTCGCGCTGCCCCAGGGACAAGCCAACCCATTCTTGGGCCGCGCCAGGCATCCTGCCAACTGCAGGAGCCTGCTGAAGGCAGAAGTGGTGAGGGGCCCAATCTTTTTTTTTTTTTTCTGTGGAGCCTGCCCACCTCTCCCGCGACTGGGGGGCGAGCTGACAGCTGCATCGTTGCAACTTGCAATGTTGCAAACTAAGCTACATCCAGATGTAGTTATGTTTGCAACAATGCAAACTCCATCTAAAACCCCCAATAGTGGTGCACATTAAGCCATACAAATAACATTTTCATCACAGGTACATTGTGATGATTGTCATGTACAAGCACCCTGCCTGTGCAAGGGATAATGTTGAATCTCAACCTGTAATGTGATGCCTTTCTTCAACCTGCATTAAAATCAGCAGATTTCACAAAGCGTAGCCCCTTATGTTGTGACATTCAAAGTGAATTAAATGCCACCAAATTGAAATACTCCACATGTTTAAGTGGCGGAGTGATGCATCTCTTTGCAGTCTTCAAAGAGATAGAGATAAGGGGCCTGGCAGTGGAGGATGGACTTCATTCATTCTTGCTCTATCGTGCATGAAAAGTAATGAGAATGAAATGGCTACTGTCCTAAGAGCGCACTGCTCTTGTTTGGTCAGAATTTTGCTTTTTGATTTTAAACTAATACCTGTATCTCATTTTTGTTTTATTGTAGTTTGGTGTTTGCTACGCCTCTGTGCTGTGCTTTGTTCCCTCAGAAAAGGTACACATGGCTTTTTTATTGTTACGTGAACGGTGAGATCCAGATGCACACAGAATGCTTCGAAGAAACAAGGAAAGAAATGGTCGTTGCTATTCAAAATCATAGCTTAAATTTTGATATGATAAGTGTTGGTTCCAAAATACAGGCACAACGGGGGGGAAAATGGTTACCAAAGATGCACAGTAAGGAAGAAGTACAACTTAAAGGGGAATAATAAAACTGTAAGCAAATAGAATTGTTAACCCCTGACAGGTAGAGCATCAGAAATTAGTCTTATTTTTTAGATGAGATTTGAACAAGATGGCTTGAGAACCAGGTTTGAAAGGTGTTCCTGTCCCTAGGAGCTTCTTGGAAGGAGGTAAAGAAAGCTTTTAAGGTTGGCATCATTGATGGAAGAGAGAGGATGGGATAAGTGAAAAAGAAAGATGAGTAGGGATACATATTGGAGCTGAGCAATATAGGGACTTGAATGCCAGGACAAGAAGTATAGACTTGCTAATGCCTGGGGTCAGTGAAAGGACTTAGAGTTCCATTTTTATGCATTATGGTGGTGGTTGAATTTTGAGATCCTATTCACTTTCACTTGGGAATTCTCACTGAATTATAAACATCAATTTAACTGTAGTCTGTCTGTAGTTTGGCCAATAGGATTTTAACTAAGAGAGTTTTGCATCTATTTTAATATATTTTCACTTGTATTTAATAGTTCAGAAACGGACTTAAAACTAACATTCATGTCCCTGAGATCATAAAGAAACATGGGCAGGTTGCATTTAAAGGTTAGCTGTAATGCAATTAGTTTTGTCATCTTCGTGTTAAAACTTCAGTTGTTTTACATTTTGCTTTTATCATTCATTGGAATCAGAAGTGCTGCATCAAGTAAGCAATGAATTAATTACTGAAATTGGAGCTTAAGGGTTTGTTTAAGAGTTAGAGGACAGATTCACTAGCTTTTGACTTCTGAAACCCAGAAGGCTTATTCATCTCTTGCTTAATGCTTACACTACTGTAATTCTCATCACCCCAGCAATACAGTTTAGATACTCTTTTCCTGCTAAAAAAAAATAGATTTAAGAAATGTAGAGCAAAAAACATTGCAGCGCTACATTGAGTTGGATAGAGAAAGTAGTCGGTTCTTGGTTCAGATTAGTGCTTTTAGAATTTCACCCTAACATATTGAATTGATTTGCTAATTTTATGGGTAATTTTTTTTTAATGCATTTGAATCATTGCAGCTCTGTATGACTTATCAGCTGAATTCACTTCACTCGTGAGAGAGAAATGTTACACGTGTAAAAGAATTCCTTGGATTCAACAGAGTAGAATAACACACTTGTTAACATCTTTTCAAGGGTGCAGTTTGTATGTACAAGCCCATTGGATCGTAACCATCTGAGTTGAAGTTCAGTAGAACAGTAAAGCAGCCATTTCTTGCATCCGGAGAACAATTTATTACCAGTCAAATTAGGCTAATTGCTATGGGTCTCAGAATCTGAATTTTCCCTATAGGACAGGAAAAAATCTGAAGCCTCCTTTGCTTATCCACAAGCCTTGATCAGATGCATCATTATCCATATTTTTGATCCAACCGTTCATTAAAGTGTAATCTTTTTACTATTTTTTTTCTCTTGCCTAGTTCCATGTCTGTAACACGCTTGGAGCCAGAACTGAAAGCCAAGATCCAGGAGATCAGTCCTGATTTAGGACGCGTGTATTTTAATAAAGGATTATAATTCAAGGATGGTGGAAATATTTTGTGAACTTTTTTTTTTAATTGTGTGCCAGCATTATTGAAAAGAGCTCAATTTTGATCTGTCCTTTTGTTAAATGATTTTGAACATCTGCATTATTTTATAATATATATGTAAAAAGACTTTCCTTCTCATATTTTCTTAAATCTCAAAAACTCATTTTGTTATTTCATTGCCCACTTTGAGTCTTGAATGAAACTTTAACCGCACATATCCAAAATGTTTACATTGAGCTCTCGAGCAGCTAAAAGAAAAAAAAAATCAAGCACACAAAGGGTACATCTATACATGCAGTTAATGAGGAGCAGTAAACTCTGGTGCATATCGCACCAGAGTTTGTTGCTCCAAGGCACTGCGTCTACACGTGCACCCAGGACCACACCATGTTGAGCCAGGTCGGAGCAGCCCTGACTGGCAGGGGGGTGAGCCTGCCAGCCCAAGGCTGCTCCAACCCAGCTCAGCATGCTGCAGAGGGGCTGGTTGGGGCACGAGTGTACTTCAGTGCAGCTAACTGGGAGGCAGCCCCTGCACTGAAGCACCCTTGTGCTCCAGCCGGTCCCATCAGCATCTGCGTGTGTGTTGCTGCACACTTAAGAACACCACTGCAGATAGTACTTGAAAATCCTATGGTGGTGTTTATTAGCTTACTGTGACCTAATAGGGCCTCATGTGCAGACGTTGAGTGCAGAGGTAATTGGGCAGTTCCACTGTAAACATCTCATGTAGATGCACCCAAAATCAGATTTTCTTGTCTTAAATGTATTGCCTGTTCTCCCTCCACTTGGGACAAAAGTCCCTTTTTACGTATTATTGATCCTGCAGTTCCAGCAGTGACTGCAGATCTGCTTCTCCAGGCCCTTCTTGTCCTGTATCATCCTAGAAGGAATAACCCCAAAGAACAGTTGGTGACCATGCCCTCTTTACCTTCAGGTTTTGACTTCAGCAGAAATAGCAGCACTGGATAGTTTAGGGGGTTTTTTTCCTTTCCTCGTTTTTCTTTCTTAAAATCTATAGACTCCGTGAAAAGTTCCTGCGTTTCTATTTTAACTATATTCAACACATGCTGCCCTGTTGTGTTCAGCCTATTCAAAGTGCTCTCATTTCTAACAGAATATTGTTGCAACAGTACAGTGTGTTTCTCCGTTTCATGTGAGGGTCATGTGTTCGACCTCTGTGTTTCTTGAAGAGCACAGAGAAAGCATATCATGTACTTCTGTTTTAATCCGTTACTGTACAAAATATACCCAAACACTTTTTCTGAGTACATTCCATCATATTATTAACATTGCCGGCATGCACCCCGTTGTGTTTACAATGCTCATCTATATTTAATGTACAGTATACCTAATATAACTCTAGAGAGCTTACACTTCAAGGGTCAAATTCTTTTGATGTATATTGGAGCAAGTTTTCTGAAGCTGTGCCATTTTGCATTAGCAAAGAAATTGGCCCAACACTTGTAGATGTTCAAAGTAATATACAAAACAATGGTGTTTTACTGACAGTATGTTGTTGTTATGCAGAGACTATATAGCATAGCTAATGTCTGAAAGTTTAGAGAACAATAGTGGCAGTTTTTGCTTGACTGTGTGATCAGAGTGAATTTTCTCATAAAGCAGAAATTTGCTTGATGGTTGTTACGTTTATCTTTGATCTGAAAGGATTAACAGATCTGAAGCTTTAGTCTCCTTGAATGCCACTGAGCCTTACCTGTATTTCTTCCATAATTACAAAACCTCACTTTTTTTGTCTTAACCTTTCTAGTCGGACTGAGCTGGTTTCCCCAGTGAATTCTGACCTTGGGTTCCTTTATTGCAATAAATATTTCTGAGAGAAAAAAAACGAAAGACAAAACTACAATTGCATACATGGTTGTCGAAGAGCTAGGAAGGAATGTATTTAATGATTACCATCTCCTATTTAAAGGAGCTTGTCTAGTTTTTAAATGTGCCATTTCTCCAATTGTTGTTTTTTTAACTCTTGCAATCAAATATTTTATGTGAACTCGCTTTTTTTTTCCAAAATGCTGATATTTGCAAATTAATCATTGCTCTATATGAAAGATATAGCCTAGTTTAAAAAGAATTGATAGCTTTCCATTAAAAGCGATTCTTCAGTGACCAAAGTATAGCTCTGAGGACAAAAATATACCATGAGTATATATATTTTTTTTTATTTCCTTTTTTGAAGCTTCAGTCTATTAATGCTTTTCTACAGAAATAACTGTACAGTTTCATTGTATTAAGCAGAACAAAATAGTATAAAGATCAGGCAATTTATCCTGGTCTTAGAAATAGAATGTTTTTAAAAACTATTTCCAAGTAAAGTGCAATAAACTTTCTGAAAACTGGTAAAACAGAATAACTAATATTTCCAGTTGGGGAATATAATTTTAAATGATGAGGTGACTGACTGTTTTTAATTTAAGTATTAGCTTAATGTCTTGCCAATGTTGACAGAGTTAATGTCATGTTTAAACTGAACTGGATGAACTATCAAATAAACTCAGATTGAAATGAATGCTTCTCTCTCATTTTGGTGTTCTCCAAATATAGTATTTTTGGTGTGTTTGAGAGTATTTCCTCATGCTTTGCACTTCAGTGGATTTGAGTACTGATGTCTGAAGATACCTACTAAAGCAATCAGTATTTTTCTTTTTGGGGACTCTTAATGCATGGGCTGCCATAAACAGCTTTTATACAGCTGCACTAACATACAGAGGTGGGTACAACTAATTTATGCTTCTACAAAAAAAGCCCAATGTTGAATATCACCAATATTTTGACTCTGTTTTGAGATCCCACATGTTTAATATGGGGGGGGCGGGGAACATACTGGTGTCACAATAAATATTTGGGGAGAGGGGAGGAGAATTGCTTAAAAAGGCAGCGAGTCCCCTATCTTTCAGTGAAAGCCAATGAAAGTTGCAAGCAGAACTTCTCACCTTGCATACCATTTTTCCCTAACACCGCTACTTTTCTGGCAGTCTTGGACACTAAATCCCTCACTCTGTCCCCTTTCTATTTCTAGGAACATTTTATGCCTATACTACTTGCACAAAAAGGTCTATTTATGGTCAGATTGTCAGTTTTGTGTGTTAAGATGGCACAATGATTTCAAGTTTTGGAATGTTGAATATGCGAAGGAGATTATACCTACTCATATACAAATCTGACTTACCTGTGCTGATTTACCTGGGTTTTTTTCCCCTACCTCAATCTGTCACATTTCTTTTTGTTCCGTAGACTTTTGCCCCAGGATGATTTGTCTCCAAGTACCAAGAAGTGAAGTTAAATATAGGGCACCAGGAGCCTTCTGCTTTACCAAGCCAAAAGTTCTCTGTCATGATGTGCTAATCAGATTTTCTGCTTTAGGTGTTTAGGACTTTAATCTTCCTTAATACTGTGGTATCTTCAGCGGATACGCATTACATGAATGCAAAGGGCAGAGCCCCATTCTGCTGTTCAGAGTCAGGCACGGTTTCTATTGCTGTAGATCTCTCTCCTATGGAAACCTTTGCTCTTTGTTTATATGCTTATATCAAAGATATGCCATTGCTCATGTGTTTGGATACCCTGATGTAAAGGAAGTTCAAATCCTAAACAGTTTGACAAACTTTATCAGTCTGTTGTGACGAGACGGGATGTCGTATACTTAGACTTCAGGAAGGCCTTCGATACGGTATCCCACCCCATACTGGTGAACAAGTTAAGAGGCTGTGACTTGGATGACTACACAGTCCGGTGGGTGGCGAATTGGCTGGAGGGTCGCACCCAGAGAGTCGTGGTGGATGGGTCGGCTTCGACCTGGAAGGGTGTGGGCAGTGGGGTCCCTCAGGGCTCGGTCCTTGGACCGATACTCTTTAATGTCTTCATCAGTGACTTGGACAAGGGAGTGAAGTGTACTCTGTCCAAGTTTGCAGATGACACAAAGCTATGGGGAGAAGTGGACACACCGGAGGGCAGGGAACAGCTGCAAGCAGACCTGGACAGGTTAGACAAGTGGGCAGAAAACAACAGAATGCAGTTCAACAAGGAGAAATGCAAAGTGCTGCACCTAGGGAGGAAGAATGTCCAGCACACCTACAGCCTAGGGAATGACCTGCTGGGTGGCACGCAAGTGGAAAGGGATCTTGGAGTCCCTAGTGGACTCTAAGATGAACATGAGTCGGCAGTGCGACGAAGCCATCAGAAAAGCCAATGGCACTTTATCGTGCATCAGCAGATGCATGACGAATAGGTCCAAGGCGGTGATACTTCCCCTCTATCGGGCGCTGGTCAGACCGCAGTTGGAGTACTGCATGCAATTCTGGGCGCCGTAATTCAAGAGGGATGCAGATAACCTGGAGAGGGTCCAGAGAAGGGCCACTCGTATGGTTAAGGGCCTGCAGACCAAGCCCTACGACGAGAGACTAGAGAACCTGGACCTTTTCAGCCTCCGCAAGAGAAGGTGGAGAGGCGACCTTGTGGCTGCCTATAAGTTCATCACGGGGGCACAGAAGGGAATTGGTGAGTATTTATTCACCAAGGCGCCCCCGGGGGTTACAAGAAATAATGGCCACAAGCTAGCAGAGAGCAGATTTAGATTGGACATTAGGAGGAACTTCTTCACAGTTCGAGTGGCCAAGGTCTGGAACGGGCTCCCAAGGGAGGTGGTGCTCTCCCCTACCCCGGGGGTCTTCAAGAGGAGGTTAGATAACCATCTAGCTGGGGTCATCTAGACCCAGCACTCTTTTTCCTGCCTATGCAGGGGGTCAGACTCGATGATCTATTGAGGTCCCTTCCGACCCTAACATCTATGAATCTATGAGTCTCTTTTGAATAACTCTCATTCCTTTGCTCGCGGACAGAAGACCAAAATGATTAGCACCAAGTCCTAGACTAATGGGTATATGATGTGGGTAAAATCTCCATGGTATATTTCCCCCTCCAGTACCATAAAAAAACACACCTCCATGGAGTTTTATGATAGAAGCTATGTAGCCAAGCAAAGGACGGAAGGACTTGGATACCAGCCATGATGGCCTGATTTCACTCTGGAAGAAACCTCTCCTCCTTGGTTAGAAAACGTTCTCAGCCCTGCCACAGCTGTATTGAAAGTCGGGGCTGAAATATGTTGGCAGAGCTGTAAGGTGGATATTTGTACCTGGCTTAACCTGACGGTGCTCAGATACAACAGTGGTGTCCAGTGCCAGAAAATGTAGAGAGAAATTAATGAGCTGCAAGTATACTCAGAAATAATGGGAAAAAACAGTTACCATCACAAGTATCTTCACATTCTGAATGGTATGTTGCTTAAATTTTAAAGCAATACCCCAAGGCCCAGAAGAGGGCAGCATTTTCCACTAAACTGATCAGCTACTTAGCATAGAGGGTGCATACCTGTGTTCCCGTTTCCTGTTGAACAAAAGAGGCCGGTGGCCAATGCAATACATATTTCCCCAGGTTGCTGCTTTTTTTTAATTTTAGACGTTCGAGGTGATTTTTCTTTGGGAGCGAGGGGGAAATGTGAATTCTCCTCCACACTATTACGACTGTTGTTAAAGCTGCAACTGCAAAAGCAAAAAGGTTGTTGCACATTTATTAAAGCTATTGTGCTCTGCAACTCCGGCAAAAGTTAATGTTGTGACTGAGCGATAACCATTTTGTAGCGTTTCCTAAGGTGATCTTAATCACTTTAGTAAAGTGTCACTTAGTAGCACTGCTGTCTTCTCCCACTTTTTCAGTGCATAATGAAATCTCTCTAGATGCCTGTACCTGGAAATCTGTAGCTGAGACAGTTTTTGAAGCAAAACTTAGAGAGCTTTATGCCCGGTGCATTGAAGCCAAAGAAGATATTCCTAAATTCATAGTTTTCAGAGACAGCCTGTATGTTAGCACTTGAAGGAGTGTGAATGTAGACTGTTAGATAACCATCGGTTTCCTTTTTGGTCCACAGTTAATTTCCTTGTATAAGTGAAAGCAGCTATATAATGTTACTGCCATTTTTTTCTTGGGCATATTGACCATAGGCTCCTCAATTCTCATTTGAATTCCAGGTATTTCCAGAATAGAATAATTCTTAGATGTTCCAGGTTGGAGTCCACTTCTTTTGGACACAAGCAGTAACATTTTGGATCTTGGTCTAAATTTCAAATATGCCTGGAGTTGGGCGTGTTTAGACCTGGGGATCCTACAGAAACCATTTGTAAAATATCAGTTCGGAGCTGGGTTTGTGCTTGAAATGCCACAAAAATCTAAGAGATTTTTTTTATGATACATCTTTTGTTGGAGCAACTATATATGGTTGTGAAAGATGTTGGACAAGCTTTTGGACATCAAGTATTCTTCAGCTCTGAAAAAAATGTGCCCCCTAAGTTTTGGTTTGGACCTTGTACAGTACTTAAATCTTACTGGCTAAGAACAGAGAGTCAAAGAGCCTGAGGCTGAATCAATTCACTCTTCACAGGTTAGTCTAAACTGCATAGATTGAACACAGTTAAGCTGAACTCTGTAACTTTGGGGCAACATGTAGGCAAACCTGTGTTAGAAAGATGTTTGTTCCAAGCGGATGTCTTTGAACACTGATATAGGATGCCAAGGGCAAGACAGATGAGAAGACACCAAGTACAACCAGCCTCTAACCCTGTTTCCCTTTAAACCTGCTTCCATCCTGATTATACTCCATGGCAATGCAAGTTTGAAAGCCGTTTCTCCAACCAAAGCCTCTGCATCCTGGGAGAACGTTTGAGAGAAGAAAACCAAGCCAGTATACAAACATCCTGAGGGTATCATCTAAAGAGCTCTTATCTGTCCTTTCCTGTATCTGTGGACAAGATATATTTTGCACTTCTTACAGAGAATCTGGGGTTTGACATTGGATGCTGTATTCGAATGCTACATTTTTTAAATTGGTTTTCTCATGATAGTGGTAACATCCTTACTGCAGTATTTCTGACCCTGCCAGTAGAAATCCAGGCTCAATTGCACTTTGTATTGAAAATATGGTTCAACTTAATCGAATAAGCTTAATGCAGGACTGTAGTTGCTCGTGAGTACCTGTGGGATTTACATATTGCTTACAGCTAGAATGGGTATCTCCATGTCCCTGGATTTTGCTGTGTAGGCGTACCCTTTAGCTACTAAAAAGGCAAGTTTCCACTAACCATGTGCAAATTGTGACTTATCAAAGACTTATCATTTGGCCAAAGTTACCTGTGATTGACAAAAGCACACTCTTTGCTAAAAGCCAGATTTCAGGTCCGTATGCTACAGCCCAGGAGCACTAGAGCTGATAGAAGGGCACCGACATTCTTTTTATATGGGGATAACCCCCGTATGCTTGGGTAGCCTCTTAGAAACTACTGAAGTGTGTTAGTTGAAATTTTCCAATTACTTCAGCCAGAGGCAGACACTTTCTACAGCAATTTACAGCCCAGTTTGTTTGCAAAGTTATCAACTGAAAGCAGTATGTTACAATGGGAGGTTGCAGGTAACTAGCACTAGCAACCCTGCCTATAATTCACTGGCTGAACAGATAGA